AAAAAAAAAAAAAAAAAAAAGTCAAAGAGCAGCAGAATAAACCCAAAGAAAGTTTGAGGAAGGAGATAATAAAAAGCAGAAATCATGGAAGAGAATATAAGGATACATTACAGAAGATCAAAAGGTCCAAAAGTTTGTTGATAGACAAGCCCCTGCAGAGACTGGCCAACAATAAAAGAGAACGGGTACAAAAAGCATCAGGAATGAGAAAAACAATATCATAGCAGAACTTCGAAATCTAATAAGACATGAATACAAGCAACTGTATGCCAATAAATTTGAGAACATTAACAATATGGGCAAACTCCTTAAAAAATACAATTTGTCAATACTGATTCATGTAGAAATAGAAAGCCTGAATAGTCCTTTAAAGGAATAGTCCTTTAAGTACTTTAAAAATTGAGCAATAGGCCAGGCGTGGTGGCTCATGCCTTTAGTCCCAGCACATTGGGAGGCCGAGGCTGGCAGATCATGAGGTCAGGAGTTCGAGACCAGCCTAGCCAACATGGTGAAACCCCGTCTCTACTAAAAATACAAAAATTAGCCATGCACAGTGGCGGGCACCTGTAATCCTAACTACTCAGGAGGCTGAGGCCAGAGAGCTGCTTGAATCCAGGAGGCAGAGGTTGCAGAGAGCTGAGATCATGCCACTGCGCTGCACTCCAGCCTGGGCAACAGAGCCAGACTCCATCTCAAAAACAAAAACAAACAAACAAACAAAAATTGAGCAATAAAAATTTCCCTTAAAGAAAATAGCAAAAGGAAAGGCAAGCTATAGAGTGGAAAAGTATATAATAAACATGACAAAAGACTCATTTCTTGAATGTACAAAATGTAGCCAAAAATCCACAAAACACTGAACCAGCACTTCATAGCAAAGAAAATCCAAATGGCTAATAAGCGTTTGAAAAACTACTCAACCTCATTAGTAAACTAGTACAATACCACTACACATCAGATTGTCAAAAATGTCTAACACCAGTAAATGACAGCAAGTATACAGAGTTGTGTAAACTATCAGACACTTCTGATGGGAGTGTAAACTGGCACACCTGTTTTGGAAAGAAGAAGAAAATGCACATATCTGTGACCCAGAAATACCACCCATAGGTTTATACCACGCAGTGTGCACCACTGGAGCTTCTGTGCACCAGAACAAAAGCATGAGAATGTGCAGAGTAGCATTGTTCATATTATTGCAAAACTGGGAAAACCTGTATGTCCAAGAATTTCATAAATAAATTATGGCATATCCATACTAGTGAATATACGAAACCATGAAAAGGAGTAAAGTGTAGTTATATACAACAACATGGTTGAGTCAGAAGGATAAGGTTGAGTGAAATCAGCCAAACAAATTTTAAACTATATCATTTAATTAACCTTAAATTAAAAACAGCTTACCCTAAGCCGTATTTTAACAGTTGCATAATTACATAGTAAAATTTTAAAGAAAAACAAAGAAGAGACTACCGTGAAAAACAGAATAGCAGTTACCCCTGGGGGATGGAGAGGGTTACGATTGGAAAGCATCTCATGGGAGACCTCCTATGTGCTGATAATGGTTCATGTCTTGGCCTGGGAAGGTAGCAATTATGGGTAATTTATTTTCCAGTAATTTGTTAAGCTGGTAATTTTCATTCTTTACACTTTTTGCATGTTTCTTATGTTTTACATATATATATACATACACACACATACACACACACACACATATATACATATACACACACACAAACACATAAGAAAGACTCTAGGCCTAGATGGTTTTACAGACAAATCCTACAAAACTTTCAAGGAAAAATCTTTTACAAACATTTCCATGAATAAAAAAGATGAACAACTTCTTTCCTCATTCTGTGAGGCCACTGCAACCTTGATACCAAAACTAGGCAAGGAGGACAGAATAAGAAAGAAAAAAATATTGATCAATCTCACTCATGAAGATGGATGCCAAATTAAAAGCAAATTACAGTAAATAACAAAAGATACATTTGGACCAAGTTGGATTTATTCCAGAAACTAAAGGTGGTTTAATATTAGTAAACCTATAAAGATAAATCATCATATTAGCAAGTGAAAGAGGAAAAACCATATGATCATGTCCATAAATGGAGAAAAAGTGTTGATAAAGCCCAATACCCAGGCATGAGAAAAACTCAGCAGCAACAAAAAGAAAATTAGCAAATGAGGGATAAGAGAGAATTTCACTAACCTATAGCAAACAGCATTTTAAAACCTTTTTATCTTGCAACAATTTCAAGCCTACAGAAGATTTGCAAATCAAATTGAACTAATTCCTGAGTAAGCTTCACCTGGTTTACTGGTTTTAACGTTTTGCCTCTCGGGGGGTGTGTGTGTGTGTGTATGTTTGGAAACAGAGAAGTTATAGACATATAACCTGCGCAGCATAGCAAGACCCCATCTCTTAAAAAATTGTTTTTTAGTTAGCTGGGCACAGTAGTA